CTTATTCCACTGAGCCATCTCCCCAGCCCCGTGTAGTTCTCTTTTTTAGTTATGTCTTTCCCTGGTTTGGGTATCAGTATAATACTTGCCTCCAGGAACGATTTTGGGAGTATTGTTTCCTTTTCAATTTCATTGAAGAGTTTAAGAAGTATAGGCATTATGTCATCTGTAAATTTCTTGTAGAATTCAGCTGTGAATCCATCAAGACCTGGACTTTTCTTTGTCGGTAGTTTTTTTTTTTTTTTTAATTACATTTTATATTTCATTGGCCGTTATAGGGTTATTGAGAGTGGTTATATCTTGTCGATTCAGTTGTGGTAATTTGTACCTTTCTAGGAATCTGTCCATTTCTTCTGTGTCTTCTGTTCTGTGAGAGTAAAGATTCTCAAAGTAGCTATGATGATCTGAATTTCCACTGGGTCTCTGGTAACTTTACCCTTTTCATTCCTTATTGCTTGCATTTGAACTTTTTCCTTCCTCTTTTTGATAAGGTTAGCTAGGGGCTTATCAATTTTATTTAACCTTTCAAAGAACCAGCTTTTTGTTTTGTTAATTCTTTGAATGGTTTTCTTCATCTCAATTGAATTAATTTCTGCTCTACTCTTTATGATTTCTTCCCATCTTTGGGCTTTGGGTTTGGTTTGCTCTTCCTTTTATAGATTTTGGAGGTGCAGCATTAGGGTGTTTATTTGTTCCCGTTCTGCTTTCCTAATGTGTGAGTTCACAGCTATACATTTCCCTCTAAGAACTGCTTTCATCGCATCCCATACATTCCAATAAGTTGTTTGAATTTTCATTGAATTGTAGATATTGTTCAATTTCTTGTTTAATTTCATCTGTGGCCCATTGGTTGCCATTTAATTTCCATGTATTTATAGGGTTTTTCTGGTTTCTTTTGTCATATATTTCCAATTTCATTGCACTGAGGCCAGATAATATGCATGAGATAATTTCTATTTTCTTGCATATACTTAAGTGTGACCTATGGACTCGTATGTGGTCTATTTCAGAAAATGACCCATGTGCAACTGAAAAAAAATGTGTATTCAGCTGTGGTTGGGTGGAACACTCTGTATATGTCCACTAAGTCCATTTGTTCCAAGCTCTGGTTCAGTTCTGCTACTTCTTTGCTAATTTTTGTCTGCTTGACCTATCTTTTTGGGATAAGAGGGTGTTAAGGTCTCCTGTTAAAACTGGTATTGGATATTAGATTTTTCATGTCCATTAAGATTTGTCTTGGGGCTGGTGAGATGGCTCAGTAGAATAAGTGCTTCCCTGGCAAGTGCAAGAGCCTGAGTTCAATCTCCAGTTCTGAAAAAAAAAAAAAAAAAAGATTTGTCTTATATAGTTGGGTGCTCCTGTGTTTGTGTGTACATATTCATGAGTGTTACCTCTTCCTGTTGAATTTTTCCCCTAACCAGTATGTGGTGGCCTTCTTTGTTTGATCATTCTTGGTTGAAGTTGAGACTGTCTGAGAACAGGATTGCTACCCCTGCATTTTTCTGAGGTGCTAGAGCATGTAGTATTGTTTTCCATCCTTTGACTTTAGCCTATGAATTTCTTTATGAGTTAACTGTGTTTCTTGTACATAGCATATTGTTGGATTTTGTTTCCTAATCCACTGTGCCAGTCTATTTCTTTTAATTGGTGAATTGAGTCCATTTATATTGATGGTTATTATTGAGATGTACTGACTTACGATTGACATGTTATTTACCTGCTGTTGTTTAGTCCTTTTTCCCCTGAGGCAGGAGGATTGACGAGAGTTTGATGCTAGCTTGGGCTACATAAGTGAGTTCAAGGCCAACCTGGACTATGTAGCAAGACCCTATCTCAAACAAACCAAAACAGAATAGAACAAAGCCCCCAAATTCCACTTGAATAATTTTTCTTTAATTTCTGTTTTGTCATGTTGTATTAATTTATCAACTCTATATAAAACCAGAAGACTGTGTTTCCATGGATACGGACCTTAAATGATGCAGGCTTTATCCTTATGGGCCTGGTGCAGTTTGATCCGCCTTCTTGTTCCTTGTTCATGAGTAGCTCTTCACTGCTCTCACATAAACTTTCTGTGATTTGTAAAATTTCTATACTTTTTGAGAGGGTTTCTTGGCTGTTTGAATCTTAAGTCTGAAGAACAGGGTGACACATTTCAGAACACTACACTTTACTTACTTGGTTTTCTTAGCCACCCCACAGATGTTGACAGATGAGGACAAGACTTCTAGAAACCACCTGAGCACCCTCTTCGTGCTACGTGGTTGAACACCAACTCTGCGTGAGCCCATTCACCCCTTTCCCTCTCATTTCACATTTTTATCCAGGCTCAAAGACTAGAAAATGGGCCTGCATTTTACAGAACTGGCACAGAGACACTGACACCAAGGCCTTGCAGCTGGTGCCTTGTGAGGCCAGAGTGTGCTGGCTGGGCTCATCGGGGCAGTGAGGTCGCAAGTACTCCTGGGAGAACAGCACGTGGGCAGGTCTTGTTCCCAGGGTGAGGAGAGCCATCACTCGGAGAACCCCCAGGGCCCTGCTGGAAGCTGAGCCCTTGTCCTGTGATCACAGGTAAGAGGGACACTGTGCAGTGCTTCTCCTGCGGCGGATGCCTCGGAGACTGGGAGGAAGGAGACGATCCCTGGCAGGAGCACGCCAAGTGGTTTCCCAAGTTAGTGATGAAGTATTTTTTGCTAACACTGTTGGGTATTTTGTTTGGCTTTATTGGGCAGTGCTGTGGGTAGAAGCCACACATGCTTTGAGCTCCACCCCAGCCCTTTTTATTTTATGTTTTGATTCTGAAACAGTGTCTTGCTAAGTTGCTCAGCCTGGGCTCAAACTTGGAATCTTCATGTCTCAGCCTCCTGAGTATCTGGGATTAATAGGCATGTAGCATTACACCTCTCTACATTTTTTAGTTTTTAAAAAGACAAAGATGCTCTCTGGTTTTGGGCCTCCTCGCATTGACATGGCTAAGCGCACCAAGAAGGTCGGCATTGTCGGTAAATATGGGACTCGCTACGGTGCCTCCCTCCGGAAAATGGTGAAGAAGATTGAAATCAGCCAGCACGCCAAGTACACCTGCTCCTTCTGTGGCAAGACCAAGATGAAGAGGCGGGCCGTGGGGATCTGGCACTGTGGCTCCTGCATGAAGACCGTGGCTGGTGGCGCCTGGACCTACAATACCACTTCGGCGGTCACAGTCAAGTCAGCCATCAGAAGACTGAAGGAATTGAAAGACCAGTAGAAGCTCTTACAATTTGAGACATCTCTAGCCTATAATAAATGGGTTAATTTATGTAAAAAAAAAAAAAAAAAGACAAAGACAAGGGCCAGTGAGATAGCTCAGTGATCTAAGTGCCTGCTTTAGCAATCCCAGGGACCAGGGTTTGATCCCTGGTCCAGCATGCTGCCCTGGCCCCGCCCTAGGGGTGCCCTGAGCAGACTGAATCCAGATGTGGTGGCGCATGCCTGTAATCCCTGCACTGGGGTGGCTGAAAACAGGATGATCACTATGAGTCCCAGCTGCATAGAGAGACCCTGAACCAAATGTGTAAATTAAAAATAAATAAATAGGGGCTGGGGAGATGGCTCAGTGAAATAAGCGCTTCCCTGGCAAGCGCAAGGGCCTGAGTTCAATCCCGGGTTCCACCAATAAAAATAAGAATAAAAATATAAATAAATAAATAAAATAAAGACAAAGACAAAAGAGTCTTCCTTGAGTGTGCCTTCTGGGTTGGATCTCTCCCTCTCCAAAACTGGACCACCCAGAATTACCCAGGTTACACCAGGGGAAATTTGAAGTATGTGGCCTTAAACAGTTTTAAAATGTTTTCTATGCCAAATACCAAGATACATTTTGCCAGATAGAAGTTTCCATGATTCATCTTAATTAATAAGGAAGGTACTTTGCTTACGAATTGCAGACAGTGATTTATGGGTAAAATTCAACAGTTCATTAGGAGCCAGGCATGCTAGTGCATGCCTATAATCCCTGCATTCAGAGACTAAGGTAGGAGGATTACTGTGAGTTTGAGGCCAGTCTGGGCTACAAAGTGAGTTCAAGCCCAGCCTGAACTACAAAGCAAAACTCTGTCTAAAAAACAAACAAACCCAGATCATTATATGTAATGTAATCTAGTACATTTATGTCAAAGTTTTAGATTAAAGTTTACTTATATTTTACATTACAGATGTGAATATCTCCAAAGTAAGAAGTCCTCAGAGGAAATTGCCGACTATATCCAGAGCTACCAGGGATTTGTTGACGTAACGGTAATTTATAAATGGAAATTTTTTCTCAACCTGTCTTTTTTTCATTGTCTAATACCTAAATCCCAAGGGGGGCTGTATTCTCTTTATGTCATGTGTTTTCTTTCTTCCTTTCTTTTTTGATTCTTCTGCCTTTCACCTGCAGAGTGTCTTAAAAAAAGAAAAATGAAGTTTTACATTCTCTTGCTAAACTGGAGACTTAGCAGTCCCTTTCCCGGGGACTGGAAAAAGCTGGCCTTTGATGAACTCTGCCTCCCTTCTAATCATCGCTCTATGGCTGAGGCTGCTCCCTGGCACCGCTACAGCCAGGGAAGGTGTCCAGGCCTGGCACCGCCACCACTGAGGGCCTCAGGGCTGGCTCCTCATTTTGGGTTTTTATCCTGCACCAGTTAGGACAGCAGGAAGTGGGCAGAAACTTAGGCCAAACTCATGGAAAAAACAAAGAAGATTTATTGGCTATGTGTCAGAAGACCAAAGCTCTGTAAAGAACGTGGACTGAATGCCAGGCGTGGTGGTACATGCCTAGAAGCCCAGCACACAGGAGGCTGATATAGGAGGATCGCTGTGAGTTTGAGGCCAGATTGGACTACATAGTAAGACCCTGTCTCCGAAACCAAAAGACAGGATAAAAACAACAGCAACAGCAATAACAAAGTAGGGACTAAAAGTGGAGGGGGAGGATTTTTTTTAGGAAGCAAGCTGGGTGCACTTAGAGAGAGCTAACAGTTGTTCAGCACATTTCTTCTGAGTTTCCTTTCCTTCCTACATCTCTTTCTTTGTTAGTCAAAAATCTATAGCATTTAAATATAGTTCTGTTTGTAAGTCGGATCTCTGTAAAAAAGGCCTTTAGGAGGTTTCCTGCTGAATATAGGTAAACATCCACTGTTGTTTTACACTGCATTAAAAATTTTCTAGCTGGGTGCCATGTGTCTGTACTCCCAGAACTCTAGAAAGCTGAGGCAGGAAGATAAAAAGTTGAGCCTATCCTGGGGACTTGATTACTTAGTGAAACTGTGTCTTAAAATTTTGAAAAGAGCTTGGAAATATAACTCAGTGCAAGGCCTGGGTTCAAATCCAATCCAAAAAAGAAAGAAAACCCAATATTCAATTAAGGGCATGCTTCTCTAAGAACTGTGCTATTCTACTGAATGAAACTCTTCATGGGGTTGACTTCAGGTCTTATTCCTAGAGAGGTATGTATATTATAAGCTAAATAATTAATAATATATGCTTAATTTTCTTCAGGGAGAACATTTTATGAATTCCTGGGTCAAAAGAGAATTACCTATGGCATCAGGTAAAAAGTCAGACCTAGTCCAAAGGCTTTGCTTATTCACTTCTTCTTTTGCCTTCTTGTTCCTTTTTTCTTTTTGGTATTGAGGATTGAACCCAGGGCTTTCACACAAAACTATACCCATCACCCCTTTTTGATGTTTTAAGACAGAGCCCAGGCCAGTTGCTAAGTTACCCAGGGTGGGCTCGAAGTTACAATCATCTGCCTCAGGTCCTGCAGCCCTGGGGCTATAAGCCTGCGTCATCTTTTTCTTTTTAACCCTTCTATTTGCCTCCCTATTTTACAGCACCACAATTCTTTTTTTTTTTTTTTTTTTTACAGAACCGGGGATTGAACTCAGGCCCTTGTGCTTGCCAGGCAAGCACTTATTCTACTGAGCCATCTCCCTGGCCCAACCACAATTCTTTTTAAAAATCATTTTCATGGGGCCGGGGAGATGGCTTAGTGGAATAAACGCTTCCCTGGCAAGCACAAGGGCCTGAATTCAATCCCCGGTTCTGGAAAAAAAAAAAAAAATCATTTTCATAAGACATTTTTACTCTCATGGAATGACCTAGCATTTAGTATGGATGAACATAGAGAACTATGTTGGGGTTGATTCTTCCACTAACTCTTCCCCTAAAACAAATTATTATTATTTTTTAATTTAATTTAATTTAATTTTTTTTTTTGTACCATGGATTGAACTCAGGTCCTTGTACTTGCCAGGCAAGCACTTAAGCTACTGAGCTATCTCCTCAGCCTGAAGTTTTTGAATAAAAAGCTTTGAAAACATTCCTAAATGACTCTTCATGTTAAGAAATGAATGAATACTCACATTAAAAATGAAATGTTGGGCTGGTGAGATGGCTCAGTGGTCTAAAGCACCTACTTAGAACAAGCTTAGCAAAGCACAGGGACCGCGGTTCAATCCCCCAGCACCACATGCCAGCCAGCCCCGCCCCCTGGTGGGCTGAGCTGGCCACATACACACACACACACACACACACACACACACACACACACGCACGCACACACACACACATTTAAAAAAAAGATTTAAAATAAATAAAAATAAATAAAAATTTTTAAAAAATGAAATGTTGGGCTGGGGTGATAGCTCAGTGATATACCACCTGCCTCGCAAGCATGGGTCCTGAGTTCAATCCTCAGTACCACAACAATAAATAAATGAATAATAAATGTCTAGCACCTGCTTGCAATTCCAGCACCCAGACAGCTGAGGCACGAAGACAAAGAGCTTAAGGCCAGCCTGGAATACCTAGCAAGACCCTGTCTCAAACAAAACGGTACAAAACAGTGAGGCCCTGGCAGCACAGCTGGCTTTTGTCTGAGCAGCGTAATGCAGGATGTGGCCAGTCTGCCCAGTGGGGGAGGGCAGCACTAGTCCTGGGCCAGCCGGAGAGGAGCAGCCTGCGGGAGCCCACCAAAGTGACCTCCTGGAGGATCAGGAACCCAGCCGCTCTTCTTCAGGGCGCTCCCGGGGAACATTGCCTCTCAGTCTTGATTCTGACTGCAGAAGGGGGGAATCTCCTCTAGCTTTTTCTTGTTTTATTCTGGTGTTAGTTGGTAAGAAAATAATTTGAAGATGTGCTTCATAATAGCAAATTTCAGACATAGGTAGAACCAAGATCATAGAAGACACTACCAGGCACCCAGAACTCTACGTCCATGGTGCTAGCATTTGGCCAACCTCGCTTCAGGGCGTCCCTTCCCGATTCTCACACCCAGTCATTCCAAGCCGAGCTCAGTACCTTGGGCCTGGCATCTGTGACTACCAAGGAGCCTGCACCGTGGCCCAGCACAGCTCACCGCTCTCACCTGCTCCTTTCCTTCCAGCTTATGACAACAACAGTGTCTTCGCTAATGAAGAACTTCGAAGGGAGACTTTTAAGAACTGGCCACACCGAGAGTTCCTGCAGGCAGTAGACGCCCTGGTCAGAGCTGGTCTCTTCTACACAGGTAAGCAGCACCTGCTACCGACCTGCTCACTTGGCCATTTCAACCCCATGTGGACCTGGGATCCTGGCCTTGCGTTGACCTGTACTCGGCAAGCTCCCTCTTTTTGTCATCCCTTTTAAGTCCTCTCTCCATTCTCCATACTGTTGGAAATAATCCCAGGCTCAAACTGTCAGTGCAGGAAAGAATGCGCTCAGACATGAGGCAGCAGGTCTGCCGAGGTTTTTGGCTTTATTTCTGCAGGAGGGCGCAAGCACGAGGTAGCAGGTGCACAGGACAAAGGCGGGTTGCCCCTTCAGGTACTAAATTTAAAGGCTGCAATCTGTCTTCTGGTTAATTCAAGTGGGGCTGGGAGGTGCGTTCTGAGCAAGTCAGAGAGCTGGTGTGGAATTTGGAACACAAGGTCCTTGCTTCTTATCTTAGAAACTGCTCTGGGAGAAGGCACTTGGTCACCATTTCTCAGAGCTCAGGGTATTGATGGAGTGGGGTAATGAGTAGATGGTCAGGGCTTTAAAACCCCAAATGGAGGGGCTGGTGAGATGGCTCAGTGGTCTAAAGCACCTACTTAGAACAAGCTTAGCACAAGGACGGCGGTTCAATCTCCCAGCATGACATGCCAGCCAGCCCCGCCCCCTGGTGGGCTGAGCTGGCCACACACACACACACACACACACTAAATAAATAAATAAATAAATAAATTTTAAAAACCCAAATGGAGTTGTTTTGGCCTTATGCTTTGAGGGAAAAGACAAGGCCTGTTCCTCACAGTGCTTTCCACAGGAGCCAAGCTCCAAACTGAAAAGCCTAGACTAGATGAACACTAAGGAGAAGAAGCACTCGCCAAATAGCTCAGAGCATTCAAGTGCCTGCTTAGGCAGATGCAAGGGCCAGGAGTTCCATCCCCTGGAGTGCTGTGCTGGCCCCACCCCCGAGGCACACTGAGATGGCAATTGAGACTGGGCGTGGTGGCACACACCTGTAATCCCAGCACTTGGGAGGCTGTAAACAGGTGGATCACTACAAGCCTGATCTACACAGTGAGACCCTGTATACCCTTGTGCACCCTGTCCTAAATACAAAAAAAAGGACAACAAGTCTGCTTGCAATGACTGTCATGTCTTTTCTGTTCTATTATTCTCCCTGCCCCTTGTCCCATACCTCTGCCTTAAAATGGTCACAACATTTCTGCCCATATTTCCTTAACCACAGTTTAGTTAGGTGACCTTATGCATTTATAAAGCAGAGCTGGGGTCAAGTATGGTGGCACATGCCTGTGATCCCAGCACTCAGGAACCTGAGGCAGGAGGATTGCCAAGTGTTTGAGGCCAGCCTGGCCTACATAGTGAGTTAAAGTACGTGCTGAGTACAGGCTGAGATCTTGTCTCCAAAAGTAGTGCAACTGGGAAGCCTAACATTTTCCCTGGGTGGTGATGTGCTCTGTTAAGATTGAGGTTTCTGTTACTATTGAAGAATGGGAGAGACTAGGGTGGTGCGGATAGCAGTCTGGGCCACACTCTGCTCAGAGGAAAGAGTCAAGGAATTCTGCCATGATCCTTGCAGGAGGTCATGAGAGGGGGTGATGGGAGGTTAAGAAAAAGCAAAACACATAGAAAAAAGCTGGGACTGAGTGGGGCCTGACCTCTCTGATGGAGCGGTAGTGACCACCCCACTCCCTGCTCCATCAGAGAATGTGTTTTAAGGCAGAGGTATGGGACAAGGGGCAGAAAAACACACTGTAAGGCAAACACTCTCAGAGCTATCTGTGCTACAGTTAACAGGGAAGAGCACAAAGGCTGGACACCTGGTGATGTGCCACTGAGGTGGAGACCAGCTTGTCTATATGGTCTGCCTCTGGCGTTCCTTGTCCCTGGGACTGGCTTTGCTCCAGTCCCAAGAAGGTCACTGACCTCTGGTTCAGCTGCAGCTCAGCCACTCCCCACAGAATTTATGCTCATGGTTCTGAGGCACGCAGAGCCTTCCACATACTCACTGTGCCTGCTAGGAATGGCTGCTCCTCCAACAGCAGCACTGTTATTCCCCAAAGCCGGTCCCCTCTGCAGACTCTCTGCCTGAGGAGCACAGGGAGCAGGGAGGGTGTGCTGTTCCTCCCTAGGTGCCCTGCTGGTTGTCACCAGACCAGGTGCCCTGAGTTACCACGAGCCCTTTAGTGGGTGTTGTAGCTCAAAAATCAGATGACAACGAGGCAAGTCCAAAAGTTAAAAGAAGCGCTTTATTTTAGCTGGTACCCAGCAGCAACACCTGGCACAAAGTGCCTAAGTGCGCGCCGAGCATTGACAAGGATCAGTATTTAAGCTTGAAAACTGTAAAAACAGGGAAAGGGTGGAGGTGCTGAGTTGGCAGTCATATATAATTCATTTGAGATAAGGTTTGGGGAACAGATATCATAAGACTTGAGTCACAGGGGTGAGGAATTGGGAGGGGTCAGTGCATACAGAACAGGAACTCGGCGAGGATAGAAGGGCAACAAAATGGGGTCAATTTTGACAGGTTATAACAGTGGGGGACTCATGTAGGTAGCACAGATGCAGCAGAGCACCTCAGGAGCAGAGGGCATAGAGTGACTGTCACAGACATATTTAGTTGGCACAGAAATCCTAATGTCTCACAGTTATTGGTCTTAGAAAGATTGCACTGTGCATGTTCTGCACGTGCTGGCTGCAATTTGCTCTGGCAGGCTTTCTCCAGGCCCTGGTCCCTGTCCTGAGTGTTCGCCCTTTCCCCACAAATCCTGCAGTGTCACGCCTTTAGGGTCCTGAAAGCTCAAGAACTTCATATTTGTCGGCCAGACCCAAAGGGAGGCTTTGTCATCGCTGTGCAGAGCTGCTGGGCCCAAGTGTGGCAGGAAGATGTTCCACTTGGGCCCTTGGCAGAACCCAATACTGCTTCCCACCAAGAAATACATTCCCAGGGGACTCAGTCCTGTGTGTAGCAGAATGCGCCAGGTAGTGGCGTGGTGAGAGCAAGCGATTCTGCATGAAGTTGCTGACATAGGGTCCCTGGCTTTGCTCATACGTTTTTATTTCCCTGGGCTCCAGCTCTATTCTTTCTGGCTTATTCATTAAATACTGATTTCAAAAGAAATGCTAGAAACTCTGCATGCTTCATGATATGTGTTAGTGAAAAATAGACAAAAATTTCCCTGTGAAGGGCTGGCCAAATAGCTCAGCGGATTAAAGCACCTGCAAGCAGGCACAGGAGCCAGGGGCTCCATCCCCAGGCCTGCCATGCTGGCCCCTCCCCCAGGGTGC